ATTTAGTTTTCTCACAATAAACTTTGGGATTCGTAAATCACTCTAATCACGATAGTTACAAGTAACCTGCAATTTGGGGAGGTTAGGTTAGGTTACGCTGGTTAGGTTAGGTTAAGTTAGGTTAGGTTAGGTTAGGCTCAAATTTAACCAGGAGCTCGCAAATTTTCGTTTGTTCTCACATAAACTTGTCGTAAATCACTACTTAATCCACGGAGTAGGTTAACAGGTACCTGCATAATTTGGGGAGGTTAGGTTTAGGTTTACGTTGGTTAGGTTAGGGTTAGGTTGTAGGTTAGGTTAGGGCTCAAATTTAACCAGGAGACTCGAAATTTCGTTTTCTCACCTAAACTTGAATTCGTCAAAGTCACTCTATATCTCACGATAGGTTAGCAGTTACCTGCAATTGGGGGGAGGTTAGGTTAGGTACGGTTTGGTTAGGTTTAGGTATAGGTTAGGTTAGGTTAGGTTAGGCTCAAATTTAAACCAGGAAGTACCAAATTTCGGTTTTCTCACATAAACTTGAATCGTAAATGCACTCTATATCCACGATAGGTTACAGTACCTGCAATTTGGGAGGTTAACGGTTAGGTTACGTTGGTTAGGTTGGTTAGTTTAGGTTAAGTTTTAGGGTTAGGCTCAAATTTAACCAGGAGAGCTCCAAATTTCGTTTTTCCTCACATAAACTGGATCGTATCCTCTTTAGAATCCCATAGGTTACAGTACGCTGCAATTTGGGGAAGGTTAGGTTTAGGTTACGTTGGTTGGTTAGGTATTAGGTTAGGTTTAGGTTTTTTACCGGCCTCAAATTTAACCAAAAGGTAACTCCAAATTTCGTTTTCTCCAAACATCAAACTTTGATCGTAAAAGTCACTCTTAATCCACGAACGGTTACAGTACCTGCCCAATTTGGGGAGGTTAGGTTAGGTTACGTTGGTGGATTAGGTTAGGTTAGGTTAGGTTAGGTTAGGCTCAAATTTAACCAGGAGACTCCAAATTTCGTTTTCTCACATAACCTTGAATCGTAAAATCAGATCTAGATCCACGATAAGGTTACAGGTACCTGGCAATTTGGGGAGGTTAGGTTTAGGCTTTACGTGGTTTAGGTTAGGTAGGTTAGGTTAAGTTAGGGCTTTAGGCTCAAAATTTAACAGGAGACTCCAAAATTTCGTTTTCTCACATAAACCTTGATCGTAATCACTCTAATCCAACGATAGGTTACAGTACCTCGCAATTTGGGGGTAGGTTAGGTTACGTTGGTTAGGTAAGGTTTTAGGTTACGGTTAGGTTAGGTTAGGCTCAAAATTTAAACGCAGGAGACCCTCCAAATTTCGTTTTCTCACATATAAACTTGATCGGTAAATACCTCTAATCCACGATAGGTTACAGTACTTGCAATTTGGGGAGGTTAGGTTTAAGGTTACGTTCGGTTACCGCGTTAGGTCTAGGTTTAGGTTTAGTTAGGTTAGGGCTCAAAATTTAACCAGGAGACTCCAAATTTCGTTTTCTCACATAAACTTGATCGTAAATCACTCTATTCCACGGGATAGGGTTTACAAGTAGCCTGCAATTTGGGGGGAGGTTTAGGTTAGGTTACGTGGTTAGGTTTGGTTCGGTTAGGTTAGGTTAGCAGTTAGGTTAGGTTAGGCTCATATTTAACCAGGAGACTCCAATTTCGTTTTCCCCCACATAAATTGATCGTAAATCACTCTAATCCACGCATAGTTACAGTACCTGAATTCGGGGAGGTTTAGGTTAGGCTTACGTTGGTTAGGTTAGGTTAGTAGGTTAGGTTTTTAGGTTTAGGCTCAACTTTTAACCAGGAGACTCCAAATTTCGTTTTTTCTCACTGTAAAACTTGATCGTAAATCACCTAATCCACGACTAGGTTACAGTACCTGCAATTTGGGGAGGTTAGGTAGGTTACGTTGGTTAGGTTACTGGTTTTAGGTAGGTTAGGTTAGGTTAGGGCTCAAAATTTAACGCAAGGAGACTCCAAATTTCGTTTTCTCTCACATAAACTTGAATCGTAAATCACTCTAAATCCACGCGATAGGTTACAGTACCTGCAATTTGGGGAGGTTAGGTTAGGTTACGTGGTTAGGTTAGGTTAGTAGGTTTAGGTAAGGTTACGGCTCAAATTTAACGCAGGAGACTCCAATTTCGTTTCCTCACCATAAAGCTTGATCGTAAAATCACTCTAATCACGATAAGGTTACAGTACCTGCAATTTGGGAGGTTAGGTTAGGTTACCGTTTGGTTAGGTTACGGGTTAGGTTTTTAGGTTAGGTTAGGTTAGGCTCAAATTTAACCAGGAGACTCCAAATTTCGTTTTCTCACATAAACTTGGGATCAGGTAAATCACTCTAATCCACGATAGGTTACAGTACCTGCATTTGGGAGGTAGGTTTTAGGTACGTTGGTTAGGTTTAGGTACTGGTTTAGGTTAGGTTAGGTTAGGCCAAATTTAACCCAGGACGACTCCAAATTTCGTTTCTCACATAAACTTGATCGTAAATTCATCCTAAAATCACGGATAGGGTTCAGTACCTGCAATTGGGGAGGTTAGGTTAGGTTACGTTGGTTAGGTTAGGTTAGGTTAGTAGGTTAAGGTTAGGCTCAAAATTTAACCAGGAGACTCCAAAATTTTCGTTTCTCACATAAACTTTGAATCGTAAATCCCACTCTAGATCCACGATAGTTACAGTACCTGCATTTGGGGAGGTTAGGTTAGGTTACGTTTGGTTAGGTTCGGTTCGGTTAGGTTAGTTAGGTTAGGTTAGGTTAGGATCAATTAACCGGAGACTCAAATTTCGTTTTCTCCACATAAACTTGATCGTAAGTCACTTCTAAATCCACGATTAGGTTACATGTACCTGGCAAATTTGGGGAGGTTAGGTTGGTACGTTGGTTAGGTTAGGTTAGGCTTAGGTTAGGTTTTAGGTTAGGCTCAAATTTAACAGGAGACTCCAAAATTTTCGTTTTCTCACATAAAACTTGATCGTAAATCACTCAAATCCACGATAGGTTACAGTACCTGCAATTTGGGAGGTTAGGTTAGGTTACGTTGGCGTTAGGTTCGTTCGGTAGGTAGGTTAGGCTCAAATTAACCAGGAAGACTGCCATTTCGTTTTCTCACATAAACTCTATCGTAAATCACCTATACCACGATAGGTTTAAGTACCGTGGCAATTTGGGGAGGTAGGTTAGGTTACGTTTTGGTAGGTTAGGTTAGGTTAGGTTAGGTTAGGTAGGCTCAAATTTAACCAGGAGACCTCCAAAATTCGGTTTTCTCACTAAGTTGATCGTAAATGCAACTTACATCCACGGATAGGTTACAGTACCTACCAATTTTGGGAGGGTTAGGTTAGGTTACGTTGGTTAGGCTTAGGTTACGGTTTTAGGGTTGGTTAGGTTATGGTTAGGCTCATTAACAGGAGACTCGCAAATTTCCGTTTTCTCACATAAACTTGATCGTAAAATCACTGTAATCCACGATAGGTTACAGTAACTGCAATTTGGGAGGTTTAGATAGGTTACGTTGGTTAGTTTAGGTTAGGGTAGGTTAGGTTAGGTTAGGGCTCAAATTTAACCAGGAGACTCCAAATTTCGTTTTCTCACATAAACTTGATCGTAAATCACATCCTAATCACGATAGGTTCAGTACCTGCAATTTGGGGAGGTTAGGTTAGGTTACGTTGGTTAGGTTAGGTTAGGTTAGGTTAGGTTAGGCTCAAATCTACCGCGGAGACTCCGAATTTCGTTTTCTC